ATAATTTCAAAAAATTGTATTATTTAATTAAAAAATAATAAATTAAAATTATTGTTATTGATTATAGTTATCATAGTACTAATAATAAATATTACTTTAGAGATTATCATGCTATTTGATAGATGGTTTGATATAGTATTTACCGCATTTCAATTATCACTACTTGCTATTATTTTGAAAACAATAAAAATAGAAAATATATTATAATTCTGTATCATAAATATTATACACTACAATAATAATTTTAACATATAATTTCTTGAATGAAATACTAGAAGTAGTAATTTTTTTAACAAATTAGTTTTACAGTTATTATTGTGATGTAAAGATAATTTACTTTAATTTTCCTTTGATCTCATTCTTGTACTACAATAATTCACGCAGTCAGTCATAAAATTATAAGCAAAAATATTCAAAATATTTAAAAATAATTAAAATAATATTAACTTCTAAAAAAAATATATATTAATCATTTTCAAAAAAAGTAAAAACTAATTAAAAACTTAAAGCATATAACCATAATTATTACAGAGTATGCATCATTAATAATTTAATATATATGTAAAATTACACCTCCGATTTTGATGAAATTAGACTCATTCGACGCGTGCTAGTATAACATTTTTCATGAACATGTGTAACATACATAAACACGCATAAATGTGTATAATTATATATGAAATATATTCTTACATTCTTATTTCTTTTATAAAATTACTGTTTAGTGTAATAGAAATAATAATGGTAATGTAAAAACATTAAAAATAATTAAAGGGATAATTTTTGCATTGTTTATTTTAAAAAAACAAGCTTAAAAAATGTAAAAAAAATTGCTCATGCATAATTTTATATATTATACAATAATTATACATAAGTAATTTGTTTACATTTTTCCAAATTTGTTTTTTTCTAAAACAAACAATGCGAAAATTATCCCTTTAATTATTTTTAATGTTTTCACATGACTATTATTATTCTAGTACACTAAAAAGTAATTTTACAAAAAAAAAAGATGAATGTATGAACATGTATGGACACATATTTCATATATAATTAGACATATTTATAAATATTTATGCGTGTTTATACACATTCATGCATGAATAATTTTTTATCAGGCGCTTTGCTTGAATGGAAAGAAAAATCTGTAAAAAAAACATTGAGTTGGGCCATAAACTGAGATATTAAACGTTAAAGTTGACGACCGTATAGATTAGGAAATCTGTCATATCGAGATGCGCAGCGTACTTAAGGGAAAAATAACAGTAAAATAAACAGTTCTTTAGAATATAATTCTCTGCTTTAAAAACATAAAAATTATATAAAAAAATAATTTGTGTGTTTAAAGTATAGATTATGTAATTTTAAAGTATAGATTTACAATTATATTCTCTATTTTACAAACACAAAACCTGTACTTTAAAAACACAAATTATTTTTTTATATAACTTTTATGTTTTTAAAGCAGAGATTTGTATTCTAAAAAAGTGCTTTTTTACCTGTTATTGTTCCCTTATACACTGTATCTCGTCGATATGACAGATTTCCTAATCTACATGGTCATTAACGTTTAATATCTCAGTTTACGGCCCAATCCAACGTTTTTTCTTAAAGATTCTTTCATTTCGAGCAAAAACGCGTCAAATGAGCCTAATTTCATCAAAATCGAAAGTGCAATCCATATTCTCTAAATCTGAATCAGTGGATAATCACTGTAATAATCAGTGCCAAATATACCATTGATAATCAGTGAATGAAATGTGAGATCTCTAACTTATCTAATCTTATTCTAAACTTATCTATTACGTAACCTAATTAATCTTGTTTTAATGCATAAATTCAATGAATATAGTATTGGGAAATTGAAATTAACATGCAAATATATATCAGATCCTATTTTAATTATATAATGCTCAAATATTCTTCCTACTTTAATTAAACTTCCAATGCCAAGTATACCGCTGGGTAATTAATAACTATCCATTGATTTAGATGTAGAGAGTATTCTAAATAATTACCACTAATGCTCTTGTACGTAACGTTTGTCTGCCTGGCGTGCAATCATCTATCTAGCCTCTCTGCGCATGCCCCACATTACACGCTCACAACAGTGACACTCCCAATAAATGAGCGCATAGTTGACAAAGCGGCTAGCCTCAACTAGCCTGCTCATTGAGCAAATAAAACTTAATTGGTTATTACTTATAGATCAAATCAAATATATTCAATCGCTCGGTAGGCATTCCTAGCCGCTTTGCTGTCTTAAACTCATCCAATAATTCAAATTTCATATTCTAAGAAAACAGTAATTTCAATTGCACCATAATTATTATTCAAAAGATTGCTGTTTGTGAAGTCAATAATCAAACATCTCGGAAAAAAAAGTTTATATATAATTATATATGTTTATATTTAATTATATAAAATTATATATAATTATATATGTTTATATTTAATTATATAAAATTATATATAATTATATATGAAATTTGATCATTTATATACAGTCGTATATAAAAGAATATATAATTAAATATAACCATATATGAAATCATACGTGACATATTTTTACCATACATAAATAATATATAAACATATACGATCATATATGGCATATTTTTGTTATATGTGTAAATCATTTTGTTATATGTATATAAATCATATATGGATAATTTAACATGAAGTTAACTTAATTTTATCTAATTACAAGCTTTTTCTCTCATAAATAAATTCAATATCCACTAAACAAACTTTAACTTTTATTTAATTTTTTGCACTATTTCAAGACTATAAAAAAGTCTTTATTTAATATAGGTATGTAATAAAGACCATCGTTTGTAATAAAAGAATAAAAATATTCTTTTAAATACGACACAACATAAAATTTTTAAAGATTAATATAAAATTTTATTTTATACATTATTAACTTTAGACGCATTTGCTTCTAAATTTTCTATTTCCCTTGTCATATAACATCCGTAATACAAGAATATAATTATTTCAATGTTTATAATACTAGTCAATAACTTCAGAAAATGCAAACATACTGACGTACGTTTAATAACAAATCAATGTATACATCCCTTCTATATTTTATTATTTCCTTTCCTCTCTCATAATTTCTGCCACATTATAGTTCCGCACGCATCGCTCTGTTGGAGAAAACTACATTTTGCTTTAAAATATAAATGAACACAACGCGTAGAGAGAGCTGTAATTTAAGTGTTTAATATCACGCGATGTTTCTTCCCTCGAATTCTTGAATGTTATTTATAACACTTTAGTCGAATGCGAATCATAATAAAGTGCGTTATTTTCTAATACATCACGGAATTATTATTGTTATTATGACAGAAACATTGACGTTAGAAAAGATTATTGCCTTCTTAAAAGTAGATCTGACATTTGCATGTTGTTGGCCACTTCCGATGAAGGCAACAAAATTTCAAAAAATTCGTGACAAGATATTTCGGTCATTATGTTGCTTAAACAGCATTCTAATGTCACTATCATTAATATATACAGTAATCAAGAAATATGATATGTTTGTTGTGATGAAAGTGAGTGTAGAACTGACCGCCTTTTTGCAAGTTCCAATACAGATTACATTGTTTACACTTCAAAGTGATCGTCTGCAAGTAATGTGCTTTTGAATTTCTTGTAATTTCAATTGATTTGTATCATAGATATTAAAATGATATAATATAAATCTATAAAAATTAAATTTAAATATGTAATGTAAAGAATTAAATTTGTGTGATAACTTATAAATAAATTTTTTAATTGTAATTGTGACAATTTCCAAAAAAATTTTTTTAAATAAGATTTTGTTTATTTATTTCAATCTTTTACGACAAAAATTGTTAATATTATTGGCATTTAAAAAACAATTTAATATCAATTGCGTGAATATATATGTAATATATTATATATACATATATATACATATATATATATATATATATATATATATATATATTATTCATTATGCACATGACATTTTAAAATTTGTTTTATTTAGGTTTCAAAAATAAAAAAGAATATATTTTTTTTTAATTTTGCACAAATATAGAGAAATCCAACATACACGTCATAATAATAAATATAAAGTTATCTATCGCCAAGAATTGAGGCATTAGATTATCAAGATCTCATAAAATCTTAGCCATTTTTCCAGATCTTCTAATCTACTATTATTGTTCATCAAAATATATTTTATGAATGACATTAAAAGTCTTTCCGTACAAGAAACAATTAAGAAATGGATATACATGAAAAAATGTGAATTGTGAAATTGTACTAGTAGGCCTTTTCATATTGTTTGCATCTTAAAGTATTTAAAACTGCAACACATTTTTCCATTTTTTCGAATTTATTAAAAAAGTAATTTTATCATTTTTCAAATAAAGCACAAATAAAAATTTCTCAATAAAACCATCACTCAATTGATTCTATTATCAATTTCATTGTACCATTTATAAACTTTTGACTACTTACACCTGTGTTTATTTTGTTTCTAAATTTAAAAAATTGTTTAACAAAGTTAACATATCTTAATAATCGCACTTTAAAAATTAATTTATTTTTAAATAATCTTTTTTAAACTCTTTCGTTAATATCTCGAAAGAATATATAAGCAGTAATATACGTTTAATACTAATATTTAATACTGTGTGTTATATACGAAACAGTTCAAATTAAATTATTATATTATACCTATATTGGTGTAAAGTTTAATTTGCGAAAGCTTAAAAAGTTACAATTGAAAATATATTTAGCAAATAATGTCATTTTAACATAAATATTTAGCTGATGTACAATTAAAGACTTCTTTTGCTGACTCCATCATTAGTGAGAGATTACATAATATACTTATGCAGATCATAATATACGAAATGGAAGATTATATTCAGCAAGCAAAATCAGAAGAGAGGAATACTTTTCAGCGATATATCAACAAATGCAAATTATTTTATTGTACGACATTGTGTTTGATAACCATGACAGCTGTAATAATGTGGTTCGGACCATTATTGATGGCTCAACCCTTTCCAATCGAAGTTGAATATCCATTCAATGTAAATAAACAACCATTAAGAACTATTATTTACTTGCATCATATAATGGCTGTATACCAAAGTCGTACGCAAGTATGTAGCAACATCTTCGTAGCTCTCCTGCTTTGGTTCACAGCAGCAAGATTCGAGATTCTATCCCATAAATTTCATAAAAGTACAAGCATCTCAGAATTCATAATCTGTATACAGCTGCATCAACGACTATTACGGTAATATGTAAATTCTATAATGCATTATCGCATAATATATTTTTTAAAACTAATTATATACTTGTATATTTAACATAAATATAAGCGAAAAAGAACTGTATATTCGATCAAAACTAGTCTTAGTGCCTAATAATATTATTTGTGTTGTTTTACAAAGAATTTTACAATTTCTAATTCAAGCAAACTAAGAGTCTGTCAGTTTTAAAACACGGGCTAAACTAAAACTTACGTTATATCACAAATTAAATTGGTAAATACTAAGTATAAGCATATTCAAGCCTATAACGATCAAAGCTAGATCTTCTCAATGCCTAAATAATTCACAGTAAATTATCTATATCTTATATGTGTACATGTATATATACCATAATTTTTGTAGTTATTCAAACTGTGCCGAAATTTTTCCGGACTTTATCACACAAACGCAATTAAACTACTGCAATAATATCGCAAGTTAAATTAAATTGACAAGCAAATTCTCAATCTTCGATCAAGAAAATATTTCAATCTTCGGACGAGGTAATATTTTTTGTAATAAATTTATTTAAGGTTTTCAGCGCATTAACACTTATATGATATCGGATCAAAGATTGAGAATTTGTTTGTCAATTTAATTTAACTTGTGATATTATTGCAGTAGTTTAATTGCTTTTAATAAAGTCTGGAAAAATTTCGGCGTACAGTTGAATAACTACAAAAATATGGTATATATGCATGTACATATATAGGATATAGATAATTCCCTGTGAATTATTTAGGCATTGAAAAGATCTAGCTTTGATCGTTATAGGCTTGAATATGCATATACTTGGTATTTAATTTTATGTCGGTCTTAATAAAAAGAAATAATAAAAATCTTATTATTGTTAAATTGGTAAGTTTAATATTACTGATTATTAAACACCAATACCCTCCTTGGCCGAATATGGCCTTCTTCAAATATGGCTTGATTGTATTAAACATCTCTCGACTAATTTTCAATTATAAATATTAACTTTTTAGTTAATTTTTTGGCTGATATTTTTAAATAATACTATACGATAAAAACATCTTTAAATTTGTATATTTATATTATATTTGTTATTAACGCATAATTATAATTAATTCTATAATAGTGTATATAACAGCAAAATTAATAAAAAACCGGTAATAATTAACAGCTAATTACAGATATGCAAAACATGTTACTATGACAGTTCGATACATAGCGTTGTCAACGATAGGGCTCAGTTCCATAGCAGTAATATTTAGCGGTCTTACTTTTTTGACCGTGAGTTATTTCTATTCCATCTATCCACTGCATATACTTATCACATAACATTAAATACATACATTTTTTGCGTAAATGTCTTAAATATCTTAATTAAAAATAACAGAAACATGTAAACTTTAAATACACACACATCTAATATTTATGTAGTCAGTATTATGATATTTATATAAATAAATATAATCTAGGCATTACATAATTTATTTTTAAAAAATTAAAAATTACTTTATTAATTTAGAATTATAAACAATGACGAATTGTTTTTCTGTCACAAATATAATTTAAATTTTGTATTACTTATATTAAATATTATCTTGCACAGCAACAAACATTAACTATAAAAACTCAATGTTTTGCCATTTCTACATCCGCACTTATAGAGGTTTTCATCTGCGCATGGCCAGCTGATTATTTATTACGCACGGTAAGGCACAGCAGCCACATAAAACGTAAAAAACAGTTTATAATAAAAGAGTTTATAATAAAATAACATAAAAATCAAAATTGCAATAAATTAAAAATTAAAATATAAAATATGTATAAATTTTAGAACAAATATATAGATTACACGATGTTTTTTAATATAATTGATGTGATCTATAATCACATTTTTATCTTGTAAAAAAATATACATTATATTAATGACTGTGTCTTTATTCTGGGTAAAATTTTCTCATAATGTTTTCTTTATTTTAATATTTCAGAGCAATGATATTGGTTATGCTGGATATGAATCATCATGGTACAGTAAAGATATATCTTTACAGAAAAATTTGTTATATACTGTAACGAGATGTCAACATCCTGTAACTCTAACTGTACCATGTTTGCTACCGAGTCTTTCACTTAATTATTATGCCTCTGTAAGTCATATCTTAAATTAGAATATTCATAAGAGTTATTTTCAGTGGTTTAATTGAAGTTAATCTTGGATATAATAATTCATAAAGAAGAGTGTTAAAAAAAAATGTCGATTGTTGCTCCCAAGTGTCAAGTAAATTAAAGTGATCTTTACATGTACAATTCTATAACCTGTCTAATAACTAGAATAATGGTTTTTCAATTACAATATTATAACCATACATATATGACCCGGTTTGTGTTATCTCTTATTATTTTTAAGTATTATTCTAATGATGTTTCTATTCCTTCTCAAAAAAATTACTATTGTTTCCTGTCATTCATAATTCCAAACAATGATTTTTCGACGTTCATTTATTTACACTTGACGGCGAAAATCGATAATTTTTAACACCCTCCTCCCCCTTTATTATTATTTTCGGTAAAAATATTAGGCGATCCAGCCTCACACAATGACTTTGACTTTGACATATGTTGTTAAGGTCGTGACGTCTAACAGATTTTAATCGTCGCTCGTTATTCATTAAAAAGTTTAAACAGTTAGTGTTAATTATTTCCCTTGCTTTACATGAACAGTCAAATAATTTTAGACAGGGAGAAAGATATGAAATGGACAAATTCAAGGAATGAACGCAAAGCGAGTTTCAGCCCACCTCTCCCTCTGTCAAGGAGCATTTGACTTTCCACATAAAGATGGAGTAGACCTTGCTTCGTGTTGAACAGAATAGTGAGATGAATCAAAATACATAGTTGCTTTAAAAAAAATATATATATATATAATATAATATCTAAAAAAATAATGTTTTATAGTTTAATTAAAAATATTAATTTTGTAAATTAAGGATATA